GGGAAGATCAATGGAACCAAAAAGAGTTAGAGCTCCCAGAGGGGAAGTCCATACAATGCGAAAGGCCCAGGGCAGTGGGATGTGGTGTTGACATACTGGCACCAGGCAGGAGGGAAGGAAACCTCCAAACGCATTGTGGTTTGTTAAAACACTGAGACTCCCCGGTGCCCCAGGGTTTGGCAATCCCACCCCATCAAGCAGAAGCGGCCTTGGCCACTGGGGAGGGAGGGAGGAGGGCCTAATGATGGCTCCAGGAGACAGAGAGTCTGCTGCCCCGGCTCCATCCGTGCGGCTTGCTGGCTGACCTCCAGCGACGGACTCTGCTCATCTTGGACAATTTCTCTGAAGTTCACACAGTTCTCTGGCTAGCTAACGAGGTCTGATGGAGACAAATTTATTCAAAGGCGATTCAGAGCAGGGTTCATAGACCACAGTGCCCCGAGAGCCACCTGCTGGGTGGGTGGGGGGCAGGGCAGGGTGGGGCCTTACGTTTTGCCTCCGTGTGTAGGACTGTTGGTTCCGTGCAGCCTCTGGTCTTCATATGACCAACTGGACCAGAACGGCTTCCCTGACAGCTTGATTCTACCTCTGTATCAATCGTAGCAAGTAGATGGTTCTAATATTCCACCATGATGGTTTTGCTGGCCTACCTGTAATTTGCTCTACAAAGAGTTTTTATTTCTAGAAAATATGATAAAAATTAAAATCTGGTTAATCCAAATGGTAAAGATTTAATGTCACTTGAAAACATCATTCAGGATCAAGTGTTCTTTAGGCTATAATCTAACTTGGCTCAGAAAATTAACCTGGGCACAGACTGTTTTACTTTGAGGAGAAAACATATCCCTAAATAACAATGATGTTACGTGTGCTTGCGTGCCCCTTCCCGGAGATCTCCTAAGTCGCTCTGGAGAAGTCAGGAGTAAACGAGTGTCCTGTATCTGATAACCAACCACCATCATCTCCGGCATTACCACAGTTAACAGTGGAGATCATCATGAATATTTACGCCTAGCAGGTTCCTTTGTGCACAACTCTCAGAGACAAATGGTATTTCCAGTAATAGTTTATTGATTTCCAAATGCACAGGGGCGCTGAGTCCAAACATCCTGGGATAGCGGTAAATCTCTCTTACAAAATAATTTACAGTATGAAAATGATATAGTGAAACATTAACTCAAATGTGTAATTCCCTTGAAAGATCGACTGCTCCCTTGTTTACTGTGAACGGTGAAAGGGGAAGGTGACTAAGGAGGGAATGTGACTGGGCACAGAAAAACAGGCAGAGGACAATGGGCTCGTTGGCTGTCCCCCACCCCCATGCAGTGTGGCCTGGCACTGTACAAAGACTGGTCAGGTTTGGCTACCGTTAATCTAAATCTACTGTCCCCTCAAGGTCCTATCAAGCCAGCACGGGCTCTGTGGCATTTTTTGCACCAACATACCCACAAGTGTCTTCATTCATTTTCCTTCTCCTGCTCTGGCACTTGCTCTGCTGTTTCTGATGTGTTCTCAGTTCCCAATGCTACTGTTCTACCAGGCAGGTCCCCTGGGCCTCCGGGTCTTAGAATGGCCTGGGGTGGGGGTTTCAGAACGCTGCTAGGCAGAGGCAATAGTAACGGGATCACAACTCTCCCCTATGGACCTTCTTTCTCTCCTAAGGCTGGGCTGAGTTCATCCATAATGAGATTTGTGTTTTAAATAGAAAATTCCAGATGTGCTAGGCACACGGTAAACATGCAACCCATTTTCTTAGTACAAAGCATGTATTGGGCAGCCATGATGTGAGTATGGAATTTCGAGTATTGGCAAGGGAGTACTTTCTAGGTGGGGGAGAGGACTTCCTGTGCCCTGCCATGACCACAAGTCATAAACTCAGCAGCTGTGCCCTCAGGCCTGACCGGAGTGGGCAGACCCCCGGGTCACCAAAATGGCTGGGTCATCCAAATTCCGCAAGCCGTCAGACATCCTGGAGCAGGTCCGGAGTGCAAGTCCCCTCAGGGCTGCCGCGTCGGCTCAGTGCTTTAGGGGCTGACGACCTTTGCAGAGAAGCTGTTCTTCTCGTTAGCACCTGGTAAGCGAGCACCGAAGCTGCGACGGTCCGGTGATGCTCGTGATCAGGGCTAGCAGAAACCTCTGCAGGGGCATGCAAGGTAATGAGGGGCTGCTCTGAATTCCCCTTAGTTCTTAAGTTGCGTGTGCACGCGCATATATTTATGTGTGTGCATATCCACGTGCACACGTACATTTGTGCACATGCACAGAGACTCATCAGCTGTCAGCGGGACAGTCCAGATCCACTGGCCTCTGAGCTAAACACCCCCTCAGACAGCACAGCACTGGCTGGGCTCACAAGTGAAGGTTTCCTCTTCTGCAGGAGTGCAGTGCCAGACATTTTCAGATAAACTTAGAGAGCAGAACACCCTCCACTTTTACAATCTCTGAGAACTTCTATACTCTTGAAGGCCTAGAATCACTGTATTTATGGGGGATGGCCCCAGAAAGGAAAGGCTCCCCCAACTCCTGGGGGCAGGCTCAAGTTAGCAATGTGTACTTCACATGCCTGCTAAGGTGGAAGAGTGAGGCCACCCCGAGGCCATCTCTGAGCCCAAACGGTGGCCATGAAGTGCAACTTCAAAAAAGAATCCAGAGTCAGTGGGATTCTGGCTATGGATAGATAGTCAGACTGCAGTGGGGGACCCAGAAGCCTTTCCCTCCCTCCGTCCTATAGATGTCCCACAGCCCACCACAAAGTGAGGGAGAGCTCCAGTACTTCCTCGCTGTGTAACTAGGGACAAGGGGCCCTATTACTCCACATCCGTTCTGTCATCGGACAAATGCGGGCCGAGGACAGAGCCTGGCTCACAGCTGGTTTTCAATACAGGTCATTTCCCCTCCTGGGCTGTCAGAGCCGAAATTCCCAAGAGAACTTCTTGGAATTGCCCTGGATTTCATGACATCAAATCAAAGGACAAACCCACTCTCAGCCTCCGGAGAACCCAAATTTGGAAAGCAGACAGGGATTGCTGTGAGGACCCAATTCATTCCAGAGACATTCATTACCTGCCGCCCTTGATGACTTTTCCCCGGGGATTTCTGCAAACCTAGAGCCTGCAGCCAGCCAGCACACACTTCTGAGCACTCTGTTACTGTCCTGGAGGAGGGAAGCCTCATCCTGCTGGGGCGTAAGGCCGGGCAGCATGGTCCAGCTTTGAGGGAAGCTGGTGTCACGGCAGGAAGCACCTAGTTCTTACACTGATAAATGCTGCTGGCAGAGACTCAGGAGCCTGGGCAGAAGCTGCCGCGTGGTGTTTAATGCTTCCCTGGTTAAAGTTTTATCAGGTGCTGAAGACAGCAGGAGCCCATAAAACAAATCCAAAATCTTAAGTAAAAGCACAAGTGCTTTCCTTGAAGATTACAGAGATATAACAATATATTGAGACAAACTGGCATATACTTTTATATTTCTGTTCATGTCCACTGCATAAATGCTGGGGTTTCCCAAATACCGATTTTAAGTAATAACATACAATGTGGTAGGGAGGAGCCAATGGTCTGTCCATTGTGAAGATAAGGCTGCTATTTGGAGATTAAACAATAATTATTGGGGAAAGACAAACACAAGTGTCTAGATCCTAAAGTCTTCATCTTTTGGCTCTTAAACTCCTGTAAGAGTAGCCACTGGTCCCTCTTTATGGGTAGTTCTGTGGGATACAGTGGGGGGGCTGTAATTAGTGGTATGCCAAATTCTCCAGTCTTTGCAGGTGGATAGGTAAAGCACCAAAATTGTCTTACCCATTGGTGGGGCACCAGTTTGAGAGTTAAAAAAAAAAAAAAAAAAAAAATATATATATATATATATATATATACATATATATATATATATATATATATATATAATTTTTAACAGCCCAAAGTACTCTCAGTCCTGACATCCTAACATATTTAGTGAGCTAGAATAATCTTAACCCAGAAGCACACACGCCCGGTAGCTTCCTGGCCTCAAAGAAATAATTTCATAGCTGGCCCAGGACTGAACAAGGATATAAACAGGGTTCCTGCAGTAAGTACTGTTTCTGCCTCAAAACCACGCGTGCACATGCCAGCTGGCCCTAATGCTCTGTGACAGGTACACGGGTCACAGGCAGGCAGGAAGACAGGGACTCCTCCCGGTGCAGGCACCTTCAATTCCACGTCAGAGGCGACTAGAGGTCTAGGCCCTCGGTCAACTGCTTGGATAAGTGCCAACTGTACTTCTCAGAAGTGAACCCCAAAACACCACTACAGGCAGACGAGAGGGAACACGCACCCCACCTGTAAATACAAATTCCCTGTGAAGTGTCCCGTTTTCTCTCAACTTTGTGTATGAACACTCGATTTCATGATGTAGCTGTTTTATCTAAAAATAAGGTCATCCCTTGACTCCAAACCAGTTAAGTAAAACTGATGTTTTCAGAAAATGCAGGCTTTTGAACTTGCAGGTTTGTATTCCCTGGTAATCACCGTTTACTTGGGAGGAGAAAACTTGGTTGTAAGGAAATGGGAGTTGGGAGGGGAAAGGCTGCAAGTCCCACTGGGGCGTGTCTCTGCTCATGGTACTTAAAAGGGAAGAGCCTGCGTGTGCGGGCAGGGCTGAAGGCCTGCGGTGGGTGCCATGGGACGAGGGGTTCCAGCTGGAGGGAGAGGTGGGTGTGCCTGCTGGGAGACGGGGCTTGATTCAGCAGACCGGAGTGACGAGAACGCTCCCTATACTGCATTTAAGCCAAATGAGGCCAAGGGGGCTAGAGCGGGGGTGACAAAAACATACACTGAAAATTCCCACTTGGTAATACACATCCCAGCCTTCACGTTGTAACAAGACCCAGAAAACCGGCAGAATCCACCCAAATCATTCAGGTTCCATCAGATCCTTTAACTATTTTGGAAATTCAGGCAATTTGAGTTCAGAAATACTGATTTCAACTTTTTCTTTTTCTTTTTTTTTTTTTTTTTTTTTTTTTTTCTAAAGTCATTTCCTTTCTACCTCTTCAATCATTTTTTTCATTTCCACAGCACTGAATTATGGATCTGAAGTGCTAGATAACCTCATGTACTAAAAATATCCTTGTATTTCAAACTTTTAACTCTTTCTCCCACCCCGTCTTCATGCCACCCATCTTACTTCGTGGAGCCACATTTTCACAAATGTATAACTGGACTTTTAGAGACTATCTACAGAGCCCTACTGTGCTCCCCACTGTTCCATGCTGCAATATAAATAAAGTGGGGTTTTAGTAGCAGGTAGGAAAAAAAAATTCTGACTGCCCTTCAAGATTACTCCAGAACCTTCCAGCTAAAGCGATGCTGTCTGAGTATACAATATCACGGGGGCTGGCTTTCCTGAGTAAGTTCAAAGCAGCCACTGAAGGACTACCTGAAGGATGCTTCTTAATTAACTGTTCCTGGTTGATCATAGGGTCACTTTTTCTTGACCTACCATGACGAGAGAATGAAAAGCACAGTCAGTAACAATAAAGTCGGTCATCCCTTGGAGAGATCTGTGCCTGCAGTGGACCTGGGGATGTATCTGGTGGAAGTACGGTTGTTGGTGGGCAGCTTTCACAGAACTCAGAAGCCGCTACATACACGCCGTCACATACACACAGGGGGGAAGGGATGAGTTTCCATGGGGGATGGCAAGCCTTCATGTGTCCTCTTCTTCACTGGCACCGCTGCAGAGGAAAGGAGAACCAGGTGAGTTAAGCCATCACGAGACAGGAGCGGCCTAATCTACTGGCCAAAGACACAGGCTCTGTTCTCAGATCTATCTGGATCCTGGTCCTAAACCTACCACCTGTTAGCCGTTGGCCATGGGCAAGTTACTTAGCTTCTCTAAGTTCTGGTTTCTTTATTTGACTACAGGGATAATTCTGATAATTTTGATCTACTTGCTTGGGTTACTGGAGGATTAACTCAGAGGATACATGTACAACACACAATGCCTGGCACACGGTAAGTGAGTTTATCTATAAAGACACAGGTGAGGGTCATAATATTTTTAAAGCTTACTTGACAAAATAAAGAATTGGTAAAAATCAGGAGTTTGACTTCCCCTTAGCCTTAAACCCTCTATTGTCAGGAGAAAAAACCAGGAGAAGCTATGACTTGGCACTCCCAACAGAGCTTCTCATTTGGAATCAAGCCAGGGTTTCAGCTCCTGCCCAGGGACAATCACAGCGTTCAAATGTCGCCTCTTTAGAGAAGGTATTCTAAGTAGGATTCCCTGGTTATTCTCCATTTTATTTCGTTCATCGTCCTTATCACACCCTATACATTCTTTGCTATTTACCCTTCCCTCTACCTACAACTAGAGCGTAAAACACTAACAACACTATTAGCACCAGCACTAGGATTAATAGAGAAGTATTAGTGTTGCTAGTAAAAGTGTTCAAGAAATCATTGTTTTCAAAAAGGGTTTGATTTTGAGAAATCAAAACAACAGGAAGGGAGGGAAGGAGGGAGCTGAAAGGAATAGTCCGTCATTACTGCCCTGGCCAGGGCGTCCACAATGTCAGTGATATCTCAGTGGCCAAAACGTGAGCTATGAGTCCCAGAGGCATGGCCAGGACCTCAGAAGCCTAAGCTCAGAACCTCCCTGGCTTGGTCCTGCTGATCCAGGGACTGGGGTGGGGAAAAGGCAGGGCCAGACAGGGATGGGGCAGAAGCAAGCGCACTGAGAAGGATGAACGTAGCAAACTTGCCCAGTTTCTCCTCCTCCACTTCTAGAGGCCCCTGTCCTTAAAAGAGAGCCAGCTTGGCCAAGTGTCTACTGTGTGCCGGGGACACTGAGCTAAGCGCCCCTCACCACGACCCCAGGATAGGGACTGGTGTTGTTATCCCCACTTTGCAGATGAAGAAAGTAAAGCTGAGACAGAAAACCCTTGGTCACCAGTGAAGTCTGTGCCCTTAACACTCAAGGATGAGTTCTGGCTGGATAAAGTCTGAAGTAATCAAGTGGGGGTGTTTGGAAGAGAGGAAAAGTCTCCTTCCTCTGGGAGAGACAGGAGCTGGAGCAGAGGGAAGGCCTGGGGTGTATTGGCTCCCAGCGATGACCTAGAAATTTTTTTATCTCACGAGGGATTATCTCTGTCTATATAAAATCTGTTTTTTTGCATCCATTTGGGAGAGACTTTAAGGGAACATATCCTAGGCAACAGACTTGTAGTACGTCCACTAAGGGCGAAAACATTTCAAGACACAGAGGCTGAAATGAATGTAAGAGTACTCCAGCAGCCAAAAGAACCAACTCAGCAACCTTCACCATCCAAAACTCTGCCCTATTTCCATTCCCTCTTCCTGCCTGTTGTCCAACCACAGGATGAAGGGTGCATGCTGGGAAGGGCTGGACAGTGGACTGTCATTAAAAAAAGCAGTGTTTGGTGGCATCTGTCCCAAAGGGAACAAAGGGCCTTTCATGAAAGTGTCTCACTAGAATCAAGGCACAGTTGGAACTGGCGCCATGTTCTCCCCTTTGGTATTATACCCAAAGCGAGCTCTTATTGTTCTCGTGTCAATTTTCCTGCAAATACGAGAGGTCCAGCATGATGGCTGTGCCCTTTCCTTAAGCTGTGGTTCACTTCTCAGCATTCTTGAGATGCATACTTTAAAGGGTTCATGAACCTACTTAAATTGTACATAAAATTTTGTCTGTGTGTTCCTTTGTTTGAGAAAGGCCGTAATTTTCATCATATTCACAAAAAGGTCAATAGCCCTTCCCCCTAAACTGAGTATAATAAAGTTGAGAATAAATTAAGTGCTTTCCTAGTTGCTAGGTTCTCTACTCTAAGACTTGTGCATTGGCTTGGGGAAAAGATCAGGAGTCCTGATTGATAAAATCTTTTCTCATGACCCTCAAAGAGATCTGTTCTTGGGTCTGACACAGTTCATCTCATGGTTTAAAAGCATGAGATCTTGGGATTCCGGCATATCACTGATTCTTTCATTTGCTAAACATTTATTGACTGTCTACTATGTGTTACGCATGATACTAGGCACAACAATGAATGATGGACACAGCAGTTGCCCTCATAGACTTTACAGCCTAGTAGGGGATGGGGAGAGAAGTGGAGGAGCAGGGAGAGAGGAAAGGAGAGATGTAAGAGGAAAGAAATGGTGAGGGAGAGAATTTTCCCCCACAATTAGCATCTTCAAATACAGCACATCCATTTTCCTAATTAACTAGCAAACTGTTTTTCACAATAATGAAGAAGAAAAAGGATCTTAAGTGAATGGATTAACACAGAACTTTGGTCACCCTGTGTGTGGTCTCTTCCTGGAGGGTTACACAATGTAATTAGTATGAGATAGCATCTCCTGAATGCTTCTTCACTTTGAAAATAAGCTGGTCTGTGTTCGTAAGATTTTATCTTAAATAGTCTATAAAAGTCTTTACTTTGTCCAAGGGAAGTAACAGCCTTCTACCTCAGCCACTTACCATCCTCCTCTGACATATCTACCGCCACATTTAGATTTATAATTGGATCAGTACTCAGAGGTTACTGAAATTCTTTCCACTGTGTTGTTGTTGAGGTCACTGTTGCTGTTTTGAGAATGAACTAACGGTGTTAGAAAGACAGCCCATTCATGTTAACCATACCGGAATTAAAATTACAAACTTCATTAAAAAGGGGGGGCAGGGGCACCTGGGTGGCTCAGTGGGTTAAAGCCTCTGCCTTCGGCTCAGGTCATGGTCTCAGGCTCCTGGGATCGAGCACCATGTTGGGCTCTCCGCTCGGTGGGGAGCCTGCTTCCCTTCCTCTCTCTCTGCCTGCTTCTCTGCCTACTTGTGATCTCTTGTCAAATAAATAAATAAAAATCTTAAAAAAAGGGGGGGGCACCTGGGTGGCTAGGTCGCTAAGCGTCTGCCTTTGGCTCAGGTCATGATCCCAGGGTTCTGTGATTAAGCCCCACATCGGGCTTCCTGCTCAGTGGGGAACCTGCTTCTCCCTCTCCCAACCCCCTTGCTTGTGCTCCCTCTTCTCACTGTCTCTCTGTCAATTAAATAAATAAATATAATCTTAAAAAAAAAAAAAAAAAAAAAAGAAAGGACAGCCCACTCTGTAGTAGGTATTTACCGACGAGAGAGGCAGTATTATCTAATGGCTCTGAGGTCACCAAGACTGAAAGAGGTTCAAATCTCTGCTCTGGCACTAATGAGCTGTGGAGCCTTGGGTGAGTTACTCAACCTCTCTGAGTCTCAGTTTCCTTGAGGGGTATCTGGGCATGTGTAATCTTAAGGAAATACACGTCCAGATCCTCAATTTCCGTATACACTCCTTCTTAAAACTGACCTTTCCAAGAACATGGCCTGTCATCTACGTTCTCTCTGCAGCCACTCCCACTTTCCCACTCTCGCAATCACCGTACTGCACTTCAGAAAAGAAATACACACCTCTTCCCCTCCTGAACCTTACCAGGGGACAATTTTAAAATCCTTCTAAGAGGAGTCCTATGAGAGCAGGGCAAGAAATATTTATTTTGCCCAGTCAATAAACTCTTGGCATGGTTGTGTGCTCCTGTCTGTCCACAGACCCAAGAATTCACATTCAGAAGTCAGATGGTTGTCCTGAGGTATGTAGTAATATGTCTATTTGAGTTGAAAAAATGAAACTAGACTTGGGTCTGACAGAAAGCAAGACTAATTTGGCTGGATGGTTTGACCATAAAAACCTTTGCAATTAGATTATACAATAAATCTTGCCTGTACATTTAATAAGCGGTGCCAAAGCTTTGCCAAAAATGTTATGTAAAGCTCATACCACATAATATATCAGATATCACACCCTTTTCAACCATTTAAACTTGATATATAATTTTAGGTCTTAACTTTAAAATGGGCAAGGAGACACATAACTTTTTCTAAATTTTAGGGGATGTAAGAACCCAAAGTTTAGCTGAGGAGCCAAGAGCTCCTGACTCCTGACTGGAGCTAGGGTTGGGGCAGCTGCAGGGGGAGGGGGGGCGGGGTGGGACTAGGGAGCCCCAGCCAGCGGCCAGCCGGCACACTGTGTCACACATGTGGCCCACTGTCCTGTGGGATGAGGACTGCTGTGGGTGCTGTTAGGGGTACACCGCGCCTCCTCCTCCCCTGCTCCATCTAGCCCCCAAACACCTGCTGGAAGAGTGGCTGCGATGGAGGCATGTTTCCCTGCCTGGCAGTTTTCAGCCCGTCCGCACAGAGAGGCAGGTCAGCCTTTCCACGTCTTCCCCAGAGATGGCAGCTTATGAGAGGACGTTCATAAATGAGGTGGAAGACACTACAACCTCGCAAGTTTAGTAGTTTCTTTTCCTGAGAATAGAATACAACTTAATTTGATTTGGCATCACTCCTATCTGCGGAGTCTTTGGCTATTTATTAATTCATTATTGCTGTAAAAGGATTATTCAACTCAAGAGGATAGAGAAATTAAGAGGTATCAACAAGGGAGGAAGGTTAGATTCGAAAAGATAGACTGAGTATTCTCCAAGAATGAAGCCATGCGGGGCTTGTCAAGGAGCTCATGGGCAGTGTCCATTCACCATCCGACGCTGTGGCCACCCAGTGCTGGGAGGCGTGTGGTCAGTCTGCCTTGGGGGCTGGACGACATGTCCCAACCCAGAGACACTCCTCCACCAGACAGAGCACAGCTGCCACTTCTGTGTCCTCCCCCGACCTGTCCCAGCAAGCCAGCCT